TTCACATATAAGTAGACCTTCACAATTCAAACTAGTGTTGTTCCATGGGTGGGGTCTGGCCAGCCCACCCCAACGGGGGCCCATTGGGCTGGGCTGGCGGGGGGGAGGGGCCACAGGTAGTGGGCTGGCCCACCCCACCCCTGATCAGGGTGGGGGTGGGCAATCGGGGGCCAGGACAGCCAGGGTATGGGGGCTGATCAGGGCCTGGATCAGGCTGGTTGGCTGCTGCAGTGCAAGTCATAGCCACCGGTTGTTCTGGTTCCGCTGTTCCGGTTGCTGAGCTTTTATATGTATATACTAGAGGCCCGGTGCACAACATTTGTGCACTGTGGGGGGTGGTGGTGTCCCTCAGCCTGGCCTGCACCCTCTCGCAGCCTGGGACCCCTCGGGGGATGTCTGCCTGTCGGCTTAGGTCCGACCCACCAGAGATTGGGCCTAAGCCGGCAGTCAGATATCCCTCTCACAGTCCAGGGCTCTCACAGTCCGGGACCCCTCGCTCCTTACCGCCCACCTGCAGCGGAGGCGGGAGAGGCTTCTGCCACCGCCACTGCACTCACCAGCTGTGAGCCTGGCTTCTGGCTGAGTGATGCTCCCCCTGTGGGAGCACACTGATCACTAGGGAGCAGCTCCTGCATTGAGCGTCTGCCCCCTGGTGGTCAGTGTGTGTCATAGCAACTGGTCGTCCCACCGTTTGGTCGACTTGCATATTAGGGTTTTATTATATAGGATAGATATTTAGGTAGCCCAACTGTGTGTACAGATGTCGATCTTTTTTTTTAATCCTCACCTGAGCATATATTTATTTTATATTTTTATTGATTTCAGAGAGGAAGGGAGAGGGAGAGATAAAAACATTAATGATGAGAGAGGACTATCAATCGGCTCCCTCCTGCACACCCCCTACTGGGGACTGAGCCCACAACCTGGGCATGTGCCCTTGACTGGAATCAAACACAGGACCCTTCAGTCTGCAGGCTGACACTCTATCCACTGAGCCAAACCAGCTAGGGCCAGATGTCTGTCTTTGCTAGCTCAGGAGTTGGTGGGCCTGGTTAATGTAGCTGATGGAACTTTTCTTTGGGGATCATTACTAAAATTTGGAAATGGAGTTACAGCTTCATCTATCCTGAGAGAAAGTCACTATATAGTTTCATGTAATCTGTGATATTCAGTCTTTTCTCACATGACTGTTATTTGGGAGAAATGGCAACCTTTAATTAAAATTCCCCTTTGATGCTTCTAGCTTTCTTGTTCAGTATTTTAAAAATCATGCGGTACTGGGCATCTGCCCCTCTGAGGGAAAACACTTTGTCTCACTCAAGTCCGTTCTGCCCAGGACTGAGCGGTAGCATGCATGCAGGGGGTTTGGAGGTGATGCTGACTGTCCTTTTTTTTTTTCCTACAGGGATTTCCACATTACCTCCACCTCCTCCACCTCCGCCTCCACCACCAGCAGCTCCCTTGCCTCCTTCGAGCACAGAGGTAGCCACACAGCTGCAGCCCCAGGCTGTGAATGGCATGAGCCGAGGGGCCTTACTCAGCTCCATCCAGAATTTCCAAAAAGGAACTCTGAGGAAAGCCGAAACCTGTGATCATAGTGCTCCTAAGATCAGCTAAAGTTTCGTGTTTACACTTGGAGGGAAAAGTTTTTTTTTCTACACACCTCCAACCACTAAAATACCCTCTTCCTGGATGAAGAACTGCTGAACCAGTACAGCCACGTTCTGTTTTGCAGATGCTCATGTAAGTGGCTTTTCAAGAGGGAAATATTCAAGTAGATGATAAAATCAGGCTGGCATTGCTGCCTTAAGAGATCTTTTGCTCCTTTATTACTATTTTAAAGGAGTTGTTCATCCTCTAATGGGCATCTTTTGGGAGCAGCAGCATATCAGAATCAATATTTCTACCAACTGAAACGGACAAAAACAATGACAATATTCAGTCGCAGCAGTGAATGGCCTTTGTATTGCAATCCTTCCTATGTCGTCAGGCAGCTCCTAGAAACGTTCCTAAGTTTATTTCTCTAAAGCATTTTCTGGTTATTCTTAGATTGTAACTCCCATACCTGCTCCCTTAATTTCATCTTAGACATTAACACAGTAGTCCAAAGCAACTGAGTCAGAGAAGCAACTGATGTCTTCATTTTCCCCTCCAATAGGATGGAGGAAATGTGTATTATTCTCTAATGGGAATACCGTTGTGGATATAGAACTTGGGCTGCTAAAGCAACTATTCTAGACTCATAGTTCCTTATAGTTAGAACACATTGAACAGACAAAACTGTTACCATCAGAAAATGCTCTTGTCTGTTAGAGGATCTTACTCCTGAGCAATTAAGTTCGTGTTTTGTGGGGAATTATTGTTACAACATAAGCGAATTTGGCATTTATTGAATTCTGACTTTGGAAAGGTTTATTCAAATACATCATCTTTAAATGTTACTCATTTATTAGAAAGATCCTTTATCTTATAATTTGCTTAATCCTTAAATAAATGGCACTTTAAAGGATTATAAGTAATCCATTTAAAACTTAAAGTACACACATCAGTGTTGGTTACTATGCAGAGAGAATGTCATTGTCTATAGTTTCATGTAATCTGTGATAAATATGTTCAGCTGTATTTTTTATTAAAATAAACCATGTCAAGAAAATGGGTTGTCTATAGCTTGGCTAAATATTTTATTATTTTAAAATACATTTTTATTGATTTCAGAGAGGAAGGGAGAGGGAGAGATAGAAACATCATTGATTGGCAGCCTCATCCAGCCTGCAACCCGGGCACGTGCCCTGACCAGAATCGAACCTGGGACCTTTTAGTCCGTAGGCCAACACTCTCTTTATTGAGCCAAACCAACTAGGGCATATTTTCCGTGTTAGTAAGCAATCCCGTCTTGCTGTTTAAATTAGGCACCATTTGTATGCTTTTATAACTAATTTAAACCTGTCTTTTCCATTATAACTTCTGAAGAAGGTAATGTATAGCAGGTCTGTTTTTTGGCAATAGAAAAATACCTGACGTGAATTTTGCTTTAATTTTAAAGGGAATCTGCCCTGGCCAGTGTTGCTCAGTGATTAGTGTCGCCCCATGCACTAAAGCAGTGGTTCTCAACCTTGGCTGCACATTAGAATCACCTGGGAATCTTTTTAAAATCCTGACTTCTGGGCCTCATCCTCCGGAAATTCTGTTTCTTTGTTACTGATGTTGTGGCCCCACCCAATAACAAAGAAACAGAATTTCCGGAGAATGAGGCCAGAAATCAGGATTTTAAAAAGATTACCAGGTGATTCTAATGTGCAGCCAAGGTTGAGAACCACTGCACTAAAGGGTCGTGAGTTCGATTTCCAGTCAAGGGCATGGACCTAGGTGGCAGGTTCCCCACCTTATTCAGGGCAGATGTGGGAGGCAATCAATTGATGTGGCTCTCACATCTATGTTTCTCTCTCTCTCTGTCCCAACCCCACTTCCCTCTTTCACTCTGACCAAAATCAATAGAAAAAATATCCTCAGGTCAGGATTAACTCTCAAAAATAATTTTTAAGGGAACCCTATTAGAATAGGCATGGACAAGGTTGATGTGGGCTAGGAGATTAATGATTTTAGATGACACTAATTTCTTAATAGAATTTTAAAACTTTCACCCCATTTATTTTCAAGAATATAAAAATACAATTAGTCATAGTTAGGAATTCCTTTATTCCTTATCAAAACAATCTAACAGTAAATGGAGATCATATGCTTTTTTTCTTTACATACAAATTGTCTTTTTGTATATATATATGTGTGTGTATATATATATATCTTTCATCAGGACTCTGCCATTCATACTTTGTCCTTCCATTGAGAGGGTAAAATTTTACATTAGTCTTATTCAAAGAAATAGCAATTGTAACAGACAAAAAAAAACAGGCATGGAGTCTAGGGCAGTAAGAATGGAGTTTTCCACTTACAAGCACATTCTTCCCAGTACAAAAACATTAACGACATGTAAGATCTTACCCTTCAATCCAGGTAGTGTCAGCAAGTATTTAAATAAATTCCAATGACTTGATATTCAAGTCCAAACTAGATATTCAATGTTTTCTTTATTGCAAATATGATGTCTTTAACCTGAGGTACAGAGTTGTCTTCTAGAATCTTTGCATAAGGCATAGGGACATCAGCACCGGTGACACGAACTGCAGGAGCATCCAGGAAATTGAATGCAGGGCCTAGGAGAGAAGGAGTAATGAGAGCCAAGAAAAGCCAGCTGAACACCAACACCTTCGCACAAAAGGTGTGGCCACCACCGAAAGACAAGCATCTAAAGGAATGTTAATTCTGGGGATTGTTTCTGGTTTTGCTTTTTAAAACATTTACCCAAAGAAAAAGTGCCAGGCTGACAAATTGCAGGTTCAAGTCATTTGGCCTCTCCTAGCTTTTAATCTTGTTATGCAGTATCCAGGTACACAGTGTATAAACTATGACTATTAAAACTAGTTTTTCTAAAATACCTTCCATGATCCTGGCACAAATTTCAGCTCCTACTCCAAACTGTGGCCACCCTCCTTCCACAGTTACGAGATGATTGGTCTTCATGACACTGGCTTCTATTGTTTCAACATCCATTGGTCTGATGGTTCGCAGATTTATCACCTAACCAGATGAAGTAAGAGATAAGCTTTAGAGAGCCACTGCATCATAAATATAGTCTTATCCCCATAATACCACGTTAGGTTTCCTATTCATCTTTGGGTCTAGGAAAATCTAATCTGCCTATTCATAAACAAGATGTAAGAGGGAAAATTTAATTAAAACAAGAATCTTTATCTCTACCACAGCAGCTGTTGTTACCTTACAGAATTCACTTATCCTCCCTTGACTTTAACTTCCTTCTCATCAAAATAATAACTGCCCGGCCTGTGTGGCTCAGTTGGAACCATGAGGTCACGGTTCAATTCCTGGTCAGGGCATGTGCCCGGGTTGCAGGCTTGGTGTGCAGGAGGCAGCCAATCGATGTTTCTCTCTCACTGATGTTTCTATCTCTTTCCCTGTCCCTTACACTAAGTGTAATTCTCACAACCACCCTGATCTGACAGAAAACATACTATCACCACTCTGTTCTCTGAAGCCAGCTCTCCCTCAGCTGTTTTCTTTCTTTCTATAAAGTTTTTTTTAATTGATTTTTACAAAGAGAAGAAGGGAAAGAGGAGGGAGGGAGGGAAACATTGATGTGGAGAGACACACTGATTGATTGCTGCCCACATGCAACCTGACTGGGCCAGGGAATGAACCTGCAACCCAGGTAAATGACCAAGAACTGAACCCACGACCCTTTGGTGCTCAGGTGATGCTCTACCAGCACTGGCCAGGGCGTGGGAAACACCCAACCAACTGAGCCACACCAACCAGGGCCCTTAGCTGTTCTTTCTAAGCTCCTGCATGTCACTCCCAATCTTTTGAGATTAGGGTACACCACTGCAAAATACAAATATTTAACAAGTGCTAGTGCTGGTTATAAAAGCGTTTGACTCATTGACTTCTATGTTTCCCCTTCTCCCAACCTCCAGTTCCAAGGATGGATCTTAACTTCAAAACGCAGGACTATTCTAAAAGATCCAGAACCTAGGTGGTAAAGCAGGTTTCCAGCTTTCCAGCTTTAAGCAGAGACAGAACTGAGTGACAAAGCAAGATTTTACACATCTAGTTAACCTGTTATAGAACTCAAATTCCTATTTTTAAAGGGAATCTTTCTGATTCTTTAAGAACAAGTGAATGTCCACTCACCTCACATTCAATTCCCTCTTTAGATAGCACTGTTGCAGCACTGTTGCAGCTTCTAAGCAGTGTCCCACAGGCCTTGAATGGGCAACTACAGTTATGTGTGTCCCTGAAACAAAGTGGTCGCAGATCAGAAGTCATGTTGAAACTAAGTTCATTTATAAAATCTTCAACTCAGCTTCATTCTAGTAATATGAGGCATGTGGCAACCTTCCTAGAAATGAAATACAAATCTACTGGATTAAGATTTAGAAAAACACAAGTGTATGAGCAATTGGGGCATGATATATTCTTATCTTGACTCATCTAATACTTCCCTAATCAAAGTAAAGGGCAATACAGTCTAGAATGAATTTGAATAACACAAACAGAGGGGCTATAGTACAAATAATGTTTAAATGTATACTAAGTTTTCTTACCTTGCCTTTCTATTTTGGCTTTTCCAATAGGAATCAGAAAATCTTTTGACTGAGCTTCTGGGGGAAATTCAAAAGCAACTCCATACATCAATTCATTTTCTAGCATCACCACTGCAAAATACAAATATTTAAAGAAAAGTAACTATTTGACTAAATATGTACACACAACACTTTCTTTTCTGAGAGCATGTTTGTTCAAGCTGGGGACAGTGAAACAAGGGCTGAGGACAAGCAGCAAGAGGAAACCTGGGCAGGGCTGCTCTGGCTCACGGGAAAGTCAGAGAAAAGGGGGCCTTGGAGACAGATTCAGGGGGTTAGCCGGGGACACACTGCTGCTGCCCATTGCTCCCCTGGGTGCAAGTCTTATGGGACCCATAGAGCTTAGGAGATGCGCGCCTAAGAGGGAGAAAGGTGGCATGCTCCTGAGAGGGAGAGCGCCAGTACCATTCCATTTTGTGAAGCTTCCCTGTGCTGATTAGGAAGCCTGTGTCTACCGTGGCCAGTTCCCCTGAGGATGGTTTAGGTATTGACTTTTGTAGTCTGCTCAATCCTAACTTTATGAGGTTAAACCAGTGTTGTAGGTACATAGTGTCTCCTTTACCTAACTGGCCCCCATGTAGTCAGAAATAAGAAAAACAACATTTTTTACTTTCTTCACTACATCTGTAAATCATTAACATTTTATATGATATGTCTAAGCCTAACAAGCAGCTTTTATTGGTGCCTCCCATGCAAAGATTTCATTTTAGTTCTTGAATGTTCAAAAGAGACCCAAGGGCTCCTCTGCTGACCTGGATTGTTATCCCGAATGGCCGACTTAATAAGTCCTTTCGCATCCTCTGCGTTCCAGGGGCTGACCACCTTCAAGCCTGGGCAGTGTCCATACCAGGCAGCAAAGCACTGTGAGTGCTGGGCAGCTACGCCTGCCGAGGCCCCATTGGGGCCCCTGAAGACAATGGGCACAGACTGGAGGCCCGCCGACATGTAGTAGGTCTTGGCAGCTGAGTTTATAACCTGGTCAATGGCTTGCATAGAGAAATTGAAGGTCATAAATTCACAAATGGGCCGCAACCCAGCCTGTCAAATCAAAAACACAGATGTTAAAAAGACTTAAAACAGCAATGAAGAGGGGCAAACAACCACTCCGCTCCCCCAACATTCAAATAATGTTTTCAAAAGGTCATGTTAAAAAGGTTTTACTCCACACTTAAGATGAGATTCATAAAGATTCATACCATAGCTGCACCTACGGCAATTCCAGCAAACCCCATCTACAAAATAAAACACAAACATGTGAAAACCCATAAAAATTATAACACTGCCCCCTTTAGCGGTCAGCTTCCTGATGGCAGCCTCACCTCAGATATGGGGGTGTCTATGATCCTCTTATCTCCATATTTCTTCCATAGGCCTCGACTGACCTAAAATTAAGTAGTGACCCCATTACTTTATAAAGTGTACCTGGGAGCCCGAT